ATATATATATAGCACGCGAGCGGGTAAGAGAGGCAGGGAGGCGGTCTGGTGGCCTTAGGAGTGCAGAGGCAAGCGTCGTCACTGCTTTCGGTTTGTCACAATGGGTATCTCTCGGGATTCCTTGCATAAGAGGCGCGCTACGGGCGGCAAGAAGAAGGCCTGGAGGAAGAAGAGAGAGTACGAGCTGGGTCGGCAGCCAGCCAACACCAAACATTCCAGCAACAAGACGGTGAGGAGGGTTCGAGTTCGAGGAGGCAACGTCAAGTGGAGGGCTCTCCGCTTGGATACAGGAAATTACTCATGGGGGAGCGAAGCTTATACCCGCAATACTAGAATCCTCGATGTGGTTTATAATGCCTCAAACAATGAGCTCGTGAGGAGGCGGACTCTAGTGAAGAGTGCTATCGTGCAGGTTGATGCTACCCCTTTCAAGCAGTGGTACCTCCAGCACTATGGGGTTGAGCTTGGGAGGAAGAAGAAGGCCGCTGCTGCAACCAACAAGGATGCGACTGAGGGACAAGTGGGCGAAGATGCGCAGGACGAGGTAAAGAAGAGGAGCCACGTCCAAAGGAAGCTGGAGAAAAGGCAGGAGACCCGCAAGCTTTATGGCCACATTGAGGAGCAGTTTGGCGGTGGGCGTCTTCTTGCCTCAATCTCATCTCGCCCTGGCCAGTGCGGCCGTGCCGACGGTTACATTCTGGAAGGGAAGGAGCTGGAGTTCTATATGAAGAAGATTTAAATACCCCAAAAATTTAGGAATTTAAACAAATCACTAAAAAGTTAAATAGTTTATTTAGGAATTTACCAAAAATCAGAAAAAAATTACCTCTCATGCCAATACAAAGGAATGGCTTTCTATGTAATTTACTAGTTATACTTGTATTGTAGTAAGCAGTCATACATTCAACTGATGCTCACGTTTAAGAGAAAATATTCCGTCCGGAAACTGCATGTTCGGATGACCAACCACCTTGCATCACTTCGCTATACAACACATCGGCGAGCGTTGTGGTGCCTAGCAATTGGCTATTCGAACGTGCGGACGTCCGGACATAATATTTTTTTCAAGTTCAGGCCGAAAATTATGGATCACTTTTCTTAAAATACCATGTTAAACCCCTTATAACTTAGGTTAGTTTATAAGTTTGTTCGGAATTATTTCCAAATTACATTTTAATTACTTCCAATTTTATTTTAAACTCCCCAAAAATAACTGAACAATTACATATTAAATTTAAAATTTCCAGCATACGATCCTTCACACGCCTGTACAAGAATCTGAATGACAACATCATGTTTAATTCTATTTCAAATCCATGAAGGATAAAGTATTATTGCATGCTGACAATGAGCAGCATGCATATTATACCTGCAGGAGGTTACCATGTTTAGAAGATTGTAATTATTTCCTTCTTTTCCTAAGTTGATAAATGAATGTGTATTTGAACTTGGTTTCTACTTGTAGGACGCTGGAAAGTCTCCTTTGCGCCCTGGAGATGCCACTGCTGAACGTCCGGTTGCTGATGATGAAGATTCCTCTGATGATTGGCATATTGATGATAAAGAGGTGCTAAATTTTTTTGTAGCTCATCTTGATTAGGAGGGGAACTGTGTTATAAAATTTGCACTTAATTTTGCAAGTTATATATTTTTTATTTTGTTTTCTAGTGTTGCGTCCGAAGTCCAATAAGACTGCGCCATGTGACAAGTGGGTCCTGCCTTCAGAAAAATATATTCAACCAGTGTATTATAGTGGGACCTACTTGCCACGTGGCAAGTGCCCACTAGACTTCGAACGCAACTTTGTGTTCGGTGTCCTGATGCAATAATCACTCCTATGCATGACCCTTTTAATTTTTTTTCCGAATTTATGATGGATGGGTTGCATAAAAAACAGCTTTTTGATGAAACCTTTTGCTTTTTTCTTTCCTTTTTCGCATAAAAAGTAAAGTTGTGTTTCCAATCTAGTATGTAGACAAGCACTCCCTTCTGCACTTGTCTATATGTATATGATAGAAGTTCTATGATGGAAGGTTATTTTATTAAGGAAATTATGTTTTTGTTTATCATCTAATGCATTCGTTGTGTATAGTTCTTCTCACGTACTTTTAGCTCATGAAAATTATTTTGTAAGAGTTTATGCTCAAAGTTGTGTGCAAAGAGCAAGATTGAGTTTTTGCTTGTGTAAATTTTAATGTGGCAATTCTCATGAGGCAAATCTTAAATGAATCCCATGATTTAAAATAATATTTTGCTCGGTGTTCATTGTTAGTACGTACATTAATTTTGTGTTGGTTCATGATTTACATACTAGTCTTTGTAGTTTTTACTCTCGAGATTTTCATAAACTCTAGACTAATAAGTAGAAACATGATGTCTTTGAGAAATTTGTTTTCCAATCAAGTGCTTTCCAATTTATAATATATGAGATGAGATTATGGTTGCACCTTAATGTTCTATTGAATATAGTCATGATTTATTAAGACATAGACTCACTTTTTTTTTCTTCAATTGCATGCCTCATTTTATCTATAGATTTTTAGTGATATATATCATGCAAAACTTCGCATCATGGATTATCATAACCCGTTAAATGCCATGTATTCCTCTTAGCTTGCAAGTGAAACTTTTTGAAGTCTTTTTTTTTTTAATTCTACTGCAGGACTTCATAGACGATTTGCCATCAAAAGATAGAAAATTATTGTTATTGGTAGATATGGGCTACTCTCCAGAAGACGCAGCCGCAGCCATAGACAGATGTGGTATAGCTTCTCTTACATTTGATGATAATATGTGTACAAAATTTTGACGTTGATGTTGTCTTATTCTGACTTTTTATATATGCCTACTATTTTTGCTGTCTTGCATAGATTTATGGTGGATGCCTTAACTTGCTTTTATTTTTTTTGGTTATTTGAGGCTCTTTTTTGAATATCATAGGCCGAATGCTTCTCTTTTATTCTTTTATCTCCAAACTATCATTTTATCATCTTTTAAATTATTTAAATATAATATTCATTGTGTGCTAGAACTTTTATGTTTTTAACCAATTTCATACTTTATTAGTTTTAGTTTTCCTTTCTTTGCCCCAAAGGATATGTAGAGTAAATTAACTTATCAAGTCAAACAGGCTTGAAATTTGACAGCCTTTGTTATGAGATTACCAAAACAAAAGCTCCTTCATTGCTACAATTTTTATGGCTTATTGAGAGAAGAGGGTTGTCAGTGACGTGATCATATTTAAATTTATTGAGTCCAACCATTTTAATCCGTTTAAGCCCTAAACTTGAACTATAGGGTACTTATGTTTCTTTAGCTAAATAGGCTACAACAATTTTTATACTTATAGATCTTCTTTTTTATAGCATAAAGTATTAGTACATCTATATTTGAGAATGTATTAGTTGACTACACATTTACCTTTTGAATGTTGATTATCTATTTAATTTAGAATTAATCTGTCAATCATTTGAGAAATTTTTTTGGATCACTATTACTTGAACTCATTAAATTAGATAGGTTTGGAACTTAAAAACTCCAATCATCATACTAACAAGATAGGGGCTCTCTTACTGTGATTGTTTTTAAGACTTACTGAGTACGAAGAGTTGTCAGTGACTTAGCCATATATGAGCTTGTTGAGTTCAACCTTTTTGTCCCACTTGAGTTTTAGATTTACGATGAGATAGGACATATCTCCTTCCATTTTAACTCATTGAAGTTTGTAAATCTCAAAGTCTCTGTAGGTGAATCTTCAAGATCTTTGTTAGTCAATGAGAAACCTTTTTCTTTTAAATTTATCCTATATATATTTTGCTTGGTAGCAATTTTTAAGTAATTATTTGGGGATATCTACATTTAAGCATGATGCCAACCATCATATTCTTTATTTTATGAAAGGGTAGCTTGGCATTATACTTTAGGATCTCGTCTTGATGTAGGACATCAACTCAAATAAATTAAAAATGCCCCATATATAATAGATAACAATTAATTATCTTTTATATAAAATTTTAAGAAAATAATTTCTATCTTACATGGTGATTTTATGATCAGCATAAAATATATTATTGCATTAAAAATATTAAAAAGATCTTCTAAAATCTCTTCAAACTTATGCTTTCTTTAAGCTACTTGAGGGGCTTCTTATTGGGCTTGCGTAACAACCTATAGGGGAGAGTGAGGAGCAATTGAATTTGACTCATGATTACTTGCATTTAGTAACCTTTCTTCTAGTAATTATTATTGATCTGCTTATAATGGAGAGTGAGGAGAAACTGAAATTGACTTCTACTAGCTTACATTTGATGACTTTTCTTCAACAAAGATTTGCAGATCTATTTATATTGGATAGGGAGAAGCAAGTGATATTGAATTTTACTAGCTTACATTTGAAGACCTCTCTTCCAGCAGAGATTTCTGACATGCTTCCTTTGATTTTTATAAACTTATTAAGGCATGAGAAATAATCAAATTCATATGATGACAAGAATTTGATAAACTCTCCACATGCGGTGTTTAAATGTGGATCTTCAATTTAATTTTATCTTACTCATTCAAGTAGTTGAGAGAACCTCAAAACCTAGATCCTTTAACTTATCAGGTTGGATAATTTTTTATATGGAAAAAGTAAGATATATTTCACTACAGTCATATTTGGGTCTCTTGAGTAAGGTGAGCAGTCATCAATTAGATCTTATTTGAGCTTGTTAAGTCTGGCCTTTAGGACCAACTTACGTTCTAGAGTTAAGTTGTAAATAAACTTGAGCTTCTCCAATTTGAAATATGAAGCTCATGTAATCAAGATTATCTCATTTAGCTTCCTATATTATGATAAGTCTGAGAGAGGAACATCCAATTTTTGAAATTGTATTGAGTGTAACATGTTTGAAGATAAAGATATTTTTGCTCAATCGGTTGAATTAGCTTTAGCATTGATGTATTAAGAGATCAATTGGGTATATTGCATTGAACAAGAAGTCTACCCAAATAATAAAATATTAAACACATTTGGGGATCTTGATTTCAGCATGATGTTGACTTAAAAAAATAAAGTGACCTCCCTATTGAATATGTAAGGATTTAAGCTTGAAGCACCATGTTTGGGGATTTAATAATGACCCACTCTTGATGGACTTTATTAGCAATAAATTTTGAAGAACATATATTAGATGTCCCACGATCATTCTTTTCAACATAAATTTCTTATTCATGAAGATTCAATCTCCATATCTTTTTATCCTTCCACTAATACCTTTCAATAATCATTTTTTTGGCACATGGTTTAAGTGTCACAACCTAATGTTCATTAAGATGGAATTTTCATAAGTTTATTTTGAGTTATCACAATTGATGGTAACCTTCAAGTTAGTGATTTGTTGATTTTAATTATAATGAGCCTTTCACTACTTTCTTTTTTTAAGCCCCAACTCTTTAGTAATTTTCCTAATTTTTTTTTTGTACTCAAGTTGACATCATTTTAAGCTATTGCTTTTCAATAGTAAGTACTTGATCTTATTGGCTCAAAAAAGATTTCTCAATGTCAACAATCTAGCTATTCATTTTAACGCAATTCAATTTTTTGAATTTGTTGCTTGTATGAAAACTTCCTTCTAGAATTGTAGGTTATTGAATGATTGATTGATAGAGTAGTGGTCAATGAACTCTCAATTTAATATTTTTCATATCTTTTTCCTTCTAGTAGTCTTTTTCTTGTTGAGAAAGCTTCAAAATCGTGTCTTCTTGATGCACAAAGTAAATAGGCAAGTAAAGTTATATTCACAAGTATCAATTATATTTATATTCATAGCTGAGTGTTTCTTCTAATTATGGCTTAACATGTTCAATATCTTGATATTTCAGCATATTTAACAATTTTGTTGTAGATCTAAATAGATATAATAGTGGACCTAGTGTCAACAATGAAAATCTGAAAATCATCTAGTTGAATTGTGCTTGCGTATAGTTCAATGACATATTTCGTGATTGAGATCTACATGTCATGCTCTGATGCTCATCAAATAACATTTTAATTTTTTGGGACATTTTGATGGAAAAGTTTTAAATATAGATCCATGGGTCATAACCTTAGGCCTCACTATGCAAACTTTCTCTTAATTTTAGGAACTTTCAATTATAAATTCCCATATTATGATCCACATGTCATGCTTAGATGATTGTTAGATAGATATTTTTTTGGATCTTTCAATGGTGGATTTATAGAATAAAAACTTGAGCTTCACACACTATGCACATCTTACAAACTTTTTTCCTTTTGTTTGGTCTCTTCAATGATAGATTTTTAGATTAAGATCTAAGCATCATGTTGAGATGCTCATCAGATAGTTTATCTTTTTATTGAGATATTTGAATAATAAAGTCTTGGATTGAGTTCAAGTCATTATTTAGAGCTCACTAGATAGAGTTAGTTATTTATTGTGACCTTCCAATCATAGATCCTTAAATCAAAATCTAAAAGTCTTACCCTGATGATCACCTGATATAATTTTACTCAAACATTTGAGATATATATATATATATATATATATATATATATATAT